TCCATTTGCATTTGAAAAGAATGTGTATTTTGCAGTTGTTGGGTGGTTTTGTATAAGTATTCAATTATGTCAGTGTGGTTAATAGCGTATACAAATCTTTTATGTCCTTACTGATTTTTGTATAGTTCTATCAATACTGGTGTGTGTGTGTATGTGTGTTCAAATTTCCAATTATGATTTTGGATTTGGATTTACTTCTCTTTTTGGTTCTGTTATTTTTTACTTCATTTATCTCATTTCTAAATATATAATAAGAAAGTCATATTTTCAGTTAGACACTTCTGTTAGTGTGAAATGCCCCTCTTATCCCTAGTAATCCTTATTAAAGTCTACTTTGTCTGATAATAATTTAGCTATGCCATCTCTCTTTTGTTTGTATTTTCATAGTATGTATTTTTCCATCCTTTTCTTTTGTGTCCTTTTTATCTCGATTACCTTTTATTTAGTGTTAAGTCCATTTCCATTTAACTGAATTACTGATATAGCGTGTTTATTTCTATCATTCTGCTATTTGTTTTCTGTTTGTTCCATCTGTTCTTTGTATCTTCTCTCATTTTTGCTGCCTTTTGGATTGAACAATTACTTTTTATTCACTTTTATCTTTTATTTTTTTATTACAATTTAATTATTTGGTTGTTTGATTGTTATTTGATTATTCTTTTAGTAGTTACTCTAAAGATTATTATTATATGCATTCTTCACTCATCACAGTCTACCCTAAATTTGTATTTTCCCACTTCCTGAACAATGCTAGAACCTTAAAAAAGTTTAACACTTTTTGCTTTCTGTGCTATTATTGTCACATATTTTATTTTAATATAGTTTTAAATCCCACAAGACATTATTATTGTGATTTTAAACTGTTAGTATTCATTTATATTTACCTACTTAGTCTCCTTTCAGGTGTTCATCCTTTTTTGTAGTTTCATGTTACCATCTGGCTCATCTGCCTTTAGACTAAAGAATTTCATTTAGAGTTTCTGAGTACAGGTCTGTTCATGATGAATACACTCAGCTTTTGGTTGTCAGAAAATATCCTATTTTGTCTTCATTAATTTTTTTTTATTCTGGTAAAATATGCATGTCATAAAATTTACTATTTTAACATAATGTTTTCAAAGTTTTCATGTTGTATCATGTATCAGAATTTCCTTCCTAAGGCTGAATAATATTCCATTGTATGTATATACCACATTTTGTTTTGTTTATTCATCCATTCATCCATCTGTGGACTCTTGGGCCACTTCTACCTTTTAGCTATTGTGGTTAACAGTACTATGAACATTGGTGTTCAAATATCTGTTTGAATTCCTGCTTTCAATTCTTTTGGGTGTATATCTAGAAATGGAATTGCTGTATCATGCGTAAACTCTATGTTTAACATTTTGAGGAGCTGCCATACTGTTATCCACAGTGGCTAACCATTTTTCATTCCTACCAGCAACGCATGAGGGTTCCAATTTCTTCACATCTTTGCCAACATTTGTTTTTTACTGTTTCATTTTTTTTTTTTTTAGGCGAGGCAACCCTTGGTTGACCGCACAGATTGCAACGACCTTGTCAGCTTACAATCCCTTATTTTTTTATTTTTTATTTTTTACGCTTACAGCACCTGGTCTTCCTAGGTGATCTTCCATCCAAATACTAACCAGGCCTAACCCTGCTTAGCTTCCGAGATCAGACGGGATTGGGCTTGTTCAGGGTGGCATGGCCGTAGACTTTACTGTTTCATTTTTGAAGAGTGTTTTTGCCTAGTATAGAGTCCTAACTTGATAGATGTATTTTTTCCACCAATTGAAAGTGCTATTTTTTCATTCTGTTCCATTCCATGTCTGTTTTCCAGTTTCTGTTGAAATATTAGTTATCAATCTTATTCTTGCTCCTTCGATGATAATACATGTTTTTTTATATGACTTTTAAAAAGATTTTTCTCTTTATCATTGGCTTTTAGCAGTTTGGTATGATACGCCCTTATAGTTTGTTATATTTATTTATTTAATTGTATTTATCCTGATTGGGGTTCGAGAGCTCCTTGAATCTATGGTTTGATATTTTTTGTAGTTTTGGGAAATTCTTAAAGAATATTTGAATTCTTGAAGAAAATATTTGAAGAAATCCAGTATTTATTCTTTAACATCCACTTCGAATAGTTACAAATGAGTTTTTTAAAAAATATTATTATGAAATAATTGATTTTTTCATTGATTCAAGCTGTTTTAATATTTGATTAACAATTATTTAATTGTTGATTTAATCATCCTCCCCCTCCTTCTCTCCTAAAACAATCCTAAATATACAGAAGAGTTGCAAGCATGGTACGAAGAACCTTTCTTGAACTATTGAGAAGAGTTGCTGACCTGATGTCTGATTGTCCTCAAAACCTTAGTGTATGTTACAGACAAACAAGGATATTCTCCAAAATTACTAAAATACAACTATCAGAATCAGGAAATCAACTATTTGAACTTTGCAATATAGCCTTATAATGTCCTTTACAGAAAAAGAATCCAGCTTAGAATCATGTATTACTTTTAGTTATGTGTCTTTAATTTCCTTCCCTCTGAAACAGTTTCTTAGACTTTCCTTATCTCTTATGACCCTGACAATTTTGAATATTATAGGCCAGTTATTTTGTAGAATGTACTTCAATTTGAGTTTGTTTAGTATTTCCTCAGGTTACACATCTTTGGTAGAAATATTAGAGAAGTGGTGCTGTGTTCTTTTCATTATACCTTATCAGATAGTGTACAACTTTGTTATGTCTGTTTATTGGTGATGTTCACCTTCACCTTCACCTGATTTAAATGCTAGACTTGTCAACTGCAAAATTACTCTTCTAATTTATAATCAATAAATATATTGCTTGTAATCAATAGTATATTGTGGGAAATTACTTTGAAGCCATGTAAATATTCTATACTTCATCAAACTTTCCATTTACAAATTTATATACAAATGGGATTATGGTTTCCTTTTTTATCCAGTGGCTTATAGTCAGTTACCATAATTATTTTGATGCTCACATTGTCCCAATGAGCTGGCTCCTTTGTCCTTTGATAGATTCCTCATCATTCTTTGCACACTTTCTTGCTTTCTGGTAGAACAAGATGCTCTAGGCTCATCTCATACTTTACCTGGCCCAGCCTTGGAATCAGCCATTTCTCCAGTGAATCCTGGATTATTTTAGTGGAGAATGGTCTTTAGAAGCCACACTCTGGACACTAGGTATGCTCATTGTCACTGAGATGTTGCTGCTCCTTGGCCCTCTCGGTGGACAGAGCTAGGGCACTAATATCTTGCTCAGACTCTCACACCTCCAAATGGGATACCCCTCCGTGGGAAACTTCCTCAGCCAATCAGGCTCTAACTTCTCAAGGTGGTCTGGCCCACTGTGTGGGCAATCATCCTGCTCATGCTCTGAAGCTCTGCTAGGCTGCTGCTTTGCAGAGATGTTCTCCACTCCTTCAGGCTCCAACACTATGCTCTGGGCCACTGCAGATCTCCCTATCCCAGGTGCAAATGCCCATTTGATTTGCTTTATAACTGAATTGCTCAGGAAGGAGGTGGAGGGAGCAGAAGAGGGAGAGGGAAAGGAATTATTATTCTTTTTGAGCCTCAAGTTTTTATAACTCTGGCCACTGATTGATCTATCATTCTAATAGTTTTTTTTCTTTTGGTCCTTTCAATATCACCCTATCAATCTTTGAAAGCTTCCTTGTTTTCTGGCACAAATATTATGGTCCAGGATTGTCTGTACTTTCTATGCACCAGACTTTGATTCAGCCATTTCTCTAAGGAGCCCTGTGTTTGTTCATTTTTAGTGGGCAATTATATTAGACACCACAATCTGAATGATAGAAAACCATTGGTTAATGGGGAGACATTGCTTCTAGTCCATTTTGGTGAATAGAATTTAAAGGTACACGTTAAAGTTAATTAGTTCACGTTGGTGTTTCCCATTTAGTTTTAACATTAGAGTGTTTTCATTTTATTTCTTTGATTTTTAATTGTATATTTTTCTTTCATTGAAAATCTTGGTTTATGACATTGTTGACAGAATTATTTCTTTGCTTTAACCTACAATATACAGACAAAGTCTAAAATACTGAATCTGAAATTACTACAAACAATAAAATTGCTAAGAGAAGTTTAAAATTTCCTTTTAGATTATTTTGTTCTTGGGTTGTGTTGCACAAAGGATGTGCAGTCAAAATGTGTTTTAAAGCCCTTGAAGTCCTTCTTTATGTGGTTACCAATTTGTTTTAAAATGTGTTTTAAAGCCCTTGAAGTCCTTCTTTATGTGGTTACCAATTTGATATTCAGTTCAGTTCATTTATTTCATTTATTTTCAATTTAAGGAATTTTTAAAAATTAGGTTTTTTTTTTGACTTGGTGAAGTATGTACATGATTCAAAGGTCAAAACTACGTTTCATCTGTTTCTGCCTCTTTCCAACCCCTTTATTCTTTATCCTCTAAAAGTAATAATTTTTGTTTATTTATCCTTTCATATTTCTTTTTGCAAATAAAATCAAATAATTATATTATGACTCCTACCTTTTCTTATAAATAAAATGTAGCATATTATATACATTTGATCTTTTTTGAAAGGCTTTCTTGAGGCATAATTTATATACCATAAAAGTTACCCAAAGTGTTTACTTTAATTATTAATAATACATTTACACGGTTGTGCAACTATCCTCACAATGTAATTTTAGAACACCTCCATCATCCCCAAAAGAAATCTTGTGCACTTTTTTGTCACTCCCCATTTCCATTCCCAGCTCTAGGCAATTACTAATCTATTTTGTGCCTCTGTATATTTGCATTTAGTTTTTTTTACTTAGCAGTGTACCCTGGGAGACCCCTATACACATCTACAAAGATCTTAATTTTTGAAAAATATAAACCTGTTTTACTCATTTTAAATTTTTATTGAAGTATGACATACCTATAGAAAGTATACAAATCATAAGTGTATGGCTTGATTAATTTTCAGAGCATGAACACACTGGTGTAACAAGGATCTGGATCAGAAACGGCACGTTATCAGCACCAAAGTAGCTCTTCTTGTGCCACCTTCCTATCACTACCCCCACCACCCTAAGGTAACAACTATCCTGATGTCTAACATCATAGATTAATTTTACCTATTTTTGAACTTTATGTAAATGGAATTATACAGTGTGTGTATGTATGTGTGTGTCTGCTTTCTCTTTCCCAATATTTGTGAGAATAATATTATGGCATGTAGTTGTGAGTTTGTTCATTCTCATTATTATTCAGTGTTCTATTGTGTAATATTCTGTAAATAAGTTACCCATTGAATCATAGATGGATATTTGAGTTGTTTCCAGCTTTTGACTATTATACATAGTGCTGCTGTGAATATTCTTGTATGTGTCTTTTGATGAATTTTTGTATTATTTTAGATTAATATTCAGCTAGGAGTAGAATCAGTAGGTTTTAAGCATATGTTCAACTTTGAGAGAAACTGCTAATTTCCTGAAGTAGTCCTGCCAGTTTGTACTCCTATCAGCAGTTATTCCACATCCTCACCATCACTTGATGTTGTCTGTCTTTTTCATTTTAGTGTTAATGGTAGATATGTAATGTAATTAACTATGGTTTAAATTTGCATTTCCTTAATGATTAATGCATCTGACTACCTTTTCACAGGTTTATTTGCCATTTGGTATCCTTTGCGCAATGCATGTCTAACTCTTTTGTCCATTTTTCTATTGATTATCTTTTTCTTTCTTCCAAGTAAAAGGACACTGGATACAAATTCTTTGTGGAGAACATACACACCAAAACATCCTCTCCCGATCTGCTGCTTGACTTTTTCCTCTTCTAAGTATGTAATCTGATAAACAGAGTTCTTTTAATATAGTAGTACATTTTTCTATTTTTTAATGGCTAGTGCTTTTTGTGTCCTGCTTAATAATTATTTACCTACTCCAAAGTTTTGAAGATATTCTCTCTCGTTTTCTTCTAAAATTTATTGTTTTATCTTTCACAGATTAAAAACCACTTGCAATTGAGTTTTGGGTATGGTGTGAGATAAGAGATGAAGATCCACTTTTTTCCTCATGTGGACATTGATTTGATCCCACATCATTTATTGAAATATTCATATTTACTCTGAGTTATCAACTTTGTTATATATTAGGTGGCTATATATGTATGGGTTTGTTTCTGGATTCTCTACTCTGTGCAGATATTCTGCTTGTCTACCTTTGTGCCCAAACCACGCTGTCTTAATTACCATAGCTTTATAATACATCTTGAGGTTTAGTAGTGTATTTCCTAAAGCTTTTTTCTTCTTCTTCAAGATTGCTTTGGCAATTATATAAATTTAGAATCAGCTGGAAAATAACCTTAGGCAAGGATATTTTATTCATATTTTATTCTTAGCACTTGGCATAGTGCCTAACAGAGTAAGCTCAATAAATATTTGTTGAATAAATGAATAAAGGAATTAGAATGTAATTGCTGAAATATAAGCACTAGGAAGGTAAGGAATTTTGACTGTCTCTTAATGTATCCCAAGCATCTAAAACAACTGTGTAAAAACCTTTAACAGCTCATAATAGGCACTGAATAAACATTGGGTAAATGAAGATGAGTAGGCATTCGTCTTTGGCTCTAGGCTCCTACTTACCTTTCAGCTTAAAGCTTAAATATATTTCCTCAGGGAAGCCTTCACTAATAGCTTCGGACAAAGTTCTCTAGTTATATTCCATAGTTACCCATATTTTGTCTTCATAGCATTCAACAGGCTTGTAATTATTTGCATATGATTTTTTATTCCCTACTAGACTGACAGGGCCTGAATCTGTTTCATTTACCATATCCTTAGTACCTTGTATTAGAGTATATAGTTGGCCCTCAATTATTATTAACTGATGGAAGAAGCAACTAAATATCTTAGAATGGAGAATCAGGAAAATTCTGTAAGAGCAAGAGACATATTCCAAGCTTTGGAAGATGATTAAGAATTCTCTATATGGAGAAGGAGAGAAGGTTAATCCTAGACAATCAAAAAACTGTGTGTAACATGGAAAGGTGTCAGGATGTATGACACTAGGAAATGGCATCTGGAGCCTAGTGTACAGTGATAGGAGCCGAACCTGGAAAGTTAGATTGAGCATACTTTGCGAGAGCTGTGCTTATTCTGTGGGCAGTAGAGTGAGCCGTTAAACGTTGTTATGCAGAAAAATGATAAGATTGGATTAGTCTCTTACAAAAATAACTCTGCTGGTAGTGCATAAGCTATGGCAGTAATCCAGGTCTGACATGAGAGGGGCCTCAGCCAAGGCAGGGGCAAAAGAGGGGATGGACCAAGTGTCTTTCTGAAGTCAAGATTCCATGATCCATAGAATGTGCCCAGGGTGATGGTCCAGGAAACCTATAGCTTGTGGGAATGGGTGGATAGTAATGCCATTAACTGAGACAAGGTATATAAATAGGTATGTAAGTTTTGAAGGGAAGATAATGAATTTGAGGGTTTTCCCCCCAATTTTTTTTACTGTGGTAAAATACACATAGCATAAAACTTACTATCTTAACCAGTTCAGTGGTATTGAGTACATTTATATTGTGCAACCATTACCACCATCATCTCTAGAACTCTTTTCATCTTGTAAAATTGAAACTTTACACCCATTAAATAGTAACTCCTCATTCCTACCTCACTGCAATCCCTAGCAACCACCATTCTACTTTCTATCTCTATAGATTTGACTACTTTAAGTACCCCATATATATGGAATCATAGCATTTTTCTTTTTGTGACTGGCTTATTTCTTTAGCAGAATGTCCTCAAGATTTATCCATGTTGTAGCAGATTGCAGAATTTCCCTTCTTTTTAAGGTTGAATATTCTGTTGTATGTATATACCACATTTTGCTTATATATTCTGTTGTCAGTGGATACTTGGGTTGCTTCCATGTTTTAGCTATTGTGAATAATGCTGCTATGAATATAGATATACAAATATCTCCTTGAGACTCTGTTTTAAATTCTTTTTGGGCATATACCCAGAAGAGGAATTGCTTGGTCACATGGTAATTCTATTTTTAATTTTTTGAGGAGCTCCACACTGTTTTCCATAGTGGCAATACCATTTTACATTTCCATCAACAGTGCACATGTTCCGATTTCTCCACATCCTCACCAACACTTGTTATCTCTTGTCTTTTTGATAATAGCCCTTCTAACAAGGTGGGAAGTGATATCTCATTGTGGTTTTGATTTCCATTTTCCTGATGATTAGTGATGTTGAGCACCTTTTCATGTACCTATTGGCCATTTATATGTTTTTGGAAAAATGTCTATTTAGATATTCTACCTATTTTTAAATCAGATTATTTGCTTTTTTTTTTTTTGTATTGTGAGTTTTTTATATATTTTGGATTGAGTCCCTGCTTTCAATTCTTTTGGGTATATACCAGGGAGTGGAATTGCTAGATTTTGTGGTAATTCTGTGTTTATCTTTTTGAGGGACTACCAAACAGTTTTCCACAGTGGCTACACCATTTTACATTCTCATTAGGAATGTAATGGAGTTCCAATTTCTCCACATCCTAGACAACACTTGGTATTTTCCATTTTTTAAATACAACTGTCCTAATAGATGTGAAGTGGTATCTTACTGTGGTTTTAATTTGATGAATAATGTTGAGCATCTTTTCATGTGCAAATTGACATTTGTATATAGTCTTTGAGAAATGTTTATTCAAGACCTTTGTCTATTTTTGAATTGGGTTGTTTGTGTGTTTTGTTGTTGGTGAGATGAATGAATTAAAAAAAATATATTCTCAGACATTAATTCCTTATCAGATATATGGTTTGCAAAATTTTTAACCCATTTTGTGGGTTGTCTTTTCACTCTCTTGATAGTGTCCTTTAATGTACAAAAGTTTTTAATGTTGATGAAGTCAATTTGTTTTTTTGTTGCCTGTGCTTTTGATGTTATATTCAAGATATCATTACCAAATCTAAGGTTATGAAGATCATCACCCATGTTTTCCTCTAAGAGTTTTATAATTTTAGCTTTTAAGTTTAGGTCTTTGATTGTTTTTGAGTTAATTTTTATATATTGTATAAGTGTCTAACTTCATTTGCTTTTATGTGATTATCTGTTGTTTTTTTTTCTGATTGAAAAGATTATTTTTCTCCATTGCATGGTTTTAGAAATATCCAATTTTGGTCTCAAGGTTGTTGGGTTGAAATCAATTAATTATAGATGTATGGTTTTATTTCTGGACTCTCAGTTCTATTCAATTGATCCATATGTCCTTTTCCCAGTACCACACTGTCTTGATTATCATTGCTTTGTATCATTGCTTTGTTGTGAAATAGGCAAGTGTGAATCCTCTTTCTTTATTCTTCTCTTTCAGTATTGTTCTGGCTATTCTGGTTCTCTTGCAATTCTATATGAATATCAACATTAGCTTGTCAATTTCTACAAAGAAGTCTACTGCGATTCTGATAGGGATAGTGTCAAATTTGGAGATCAGTTTGGGAATATTGCCTGTATTAACAGTCTTAAGTCCTCTGATTGTGAACATGGAGTGTTTTCCCAATTATTTAGATCTTTAATTTCTTACAACAACATTTTATAGTTTTCAGAGTATAAATTCTCTATGTCTTTTTTTTAAAGTTATACCTAAGTATTTTATTCCTTATGATGTATTATAAATGATATTGTTTTCTTAATTTCATTTTCAGATTTTTCATTGCAAGTATATTGAAATAAAATTTGTTTTTGTATATTGATCTTGTATCCTGCAAACTTGCTGAACTCATTTGTTAGTTCTAATAGTTTTTTTAAAGGATGTCTTAGGAATTTCTATACACAAGACCATTTCATCTGAAAATAGAGATAGTTTTATTCTTCCTTTCCAACACGAATGCCTTTTATTTTTTTTCTTGCCTAATTGCCCTGGCTAGAACCTCCAATATAATGTTGCATAGAGGTAACAGGAGTGGACATTATTGTCTTGTTACAGATCTTCGTGGGAAAGCATTCAGTTTTTTACTGTTAAGTATGATATTAGCTGTGGGTTTTTCTTTAATGCCCTTTATTATGTTAATTTCTTTA